TCGACGTACAAGCATGAACCCCCATTTTCATGAGTTTTGATACCAATTTCTGTCATCCCTCTGTTTTTAAAGCCTCCCCCTGTGCCCACAATTTTTGTGCACTGAAATTCCAGCAATTGTTACTCCAGGAAATGACCCCAAGTGTTTCCAAACAAAACCTGCTCATCAGTTGCAATGCCTTGGAGCAGGTGCTTACAGAGCAGAGATCCTGATTCAGAGTTGGTGGCTGGGATTGGCAGGGTTAAGGTTAATCTGAAGGGGTTAAACCACACAGAATTATGCCCAGTAAATAACCAACTGAATTTCACCAGTCTGCAATTACAGCTGGAATAAAACAGGTGACGAATTTAAATCAAATTTAAAAATTAAGGACACTAAGTTAAGACTTTTTCCAGTTGTCAGGAGTCTGCTGGCACACAGCTTACAGGTAGTAACCTCCACAGGTTCAGCTGGTGGTTTAGAGGGCTTTCTCCACTGACATGGATTAGAAAAGTGGAAGAGCTACAAAATTTAATATGCATTGAAGAACAGAGAGTGTGCCCCAGGCCAGAGGCCCAGGCTTCACCAGGTCTAGCTCTCCTCCAGCTCTTTACTTGCCCGTGCAAAGTCAAAGTGGGGCTCATATTGTCCTCCCACTCCATAATTTGCCACCTGAAAAAGAGAAACACAGCACTTGTGAAGAAGAAAGATGTGAAGACAAAACAGGACTTACCCTTCCAAAATCAAAATGAGGCTCATACTGGCCTCCTACGCCGTAGTTGGCTACCTACAGTGGAAGGAGAAGCACAGGATCTAGTGAATCAGTCTTTATCCAGGCAAGAGTTTGACTGTCAGCTACAACCTCTGCAGAGATGAAGTTTAAACACCAAGCCCCTGGAAATGTCAAGCCTCTGCCAGCAACAGGAGCATATCCAAGACTGGCACTGCAGTGAGCTCCAGGTAAGGAAGCTGGTTCTTCCCAGAGCAGAAAAGCGTTTTTCTTCTACAGAAAACTTTTCAGCCTCTCTTCAAAACAGTGTCACGGTGCTTTTAGATCATCAGATTTAAAGCACTTTTTCACCTGAATTTGACTGTGTCAGTTAAGAGGGTTCCCTGTCCTTCTTGCCAATTGGTTACAAACAAATAACCTCAATTTTCCACCAGATCCCTGGCCATTTTAACAGCAGGCACCTTGACAGAGTGGCAGGGAGCACAGCAGGTTTCAGAAGTACTTTGTGGGAGTCCTGCTTTCTAGGTACTCCTGCTCTGCTCACAGTCAGGGAGGCAGCTGCTCATTTAAAGGCCTCAAGCAACTAAACAGAAGTGCTTTTAAATTACAATTTACTCAAGTTACACAAACAGCCAGTGTTTCCCACATCCCAGGGACACCAGACACACTGGTGGCCTTCCCTGAGTACCAGTCAACCCAAACTTTTAACTGCCTCCAACAGCAGCAAGCTTTGACCCTATGGCCACAAAACTCAGTTTATTTGTCTAAATAAAAAGGAATTACACACCCAGATTTTCAGTTATCACTGTTCCCCTTCAGCCCCCAAAAAAGCCACTTCACACTGAACAGCTGCCCTGCAAAGACAACTTTTTCTTCCCCCCTGTAAACAAAATGACTTTTTGTGGCCACCCCAGCTGAGTGAGCACAAGCCATCCACCCATGGGGAGGTGCTGAGCTGGTGGCTGGCATCCAGCACCAAACCCACACTGCCACTTACCTGCAGCTCCTCTGCTGTGGAGACATCCAGGCCTGTCAGGTCCTGGATCCTGGTGTTGATGCGGGACACCACCGGGCTCTCGTACCCCGACAGCCACGCGCTGGGGAGGGGACAGTTAGTGACAACAGGCAGCACAGCAGCAACACTTGCAGGTAATTTGGAGCGGGAGATCTGGTTTTGGGACTTTTCAAGGATTTGGTAGCATGACCAGAAGGATTTTTATGGTGTTACAAAAGCCTGAATTTAGTGGAAAACCAATCCAGCAGTGGTTTAAGGGAGCTCTATAGCCAAGGGCCTGAATTCCCACACTGGGCTGAAGGGAGTGTTACAAACAGGGCTTCAAGCTGTTTTTTAAACCAGGCACACACAGTTTTGCTGCTACCCCACTCCCAACAGCTCATTCAGCCCCCAGGGTGATGCATTTTGAAGCAGGATTTGGGACAGGAACAGGTGAGTTTACTGTATTTGTCTGTGTAGCTGGAACTCAGCTCCCCTAAATTTCCCACACTTCCAGGCCAGCACTGGGAGCTGCCCCTTCTCATCACTTACCCCTGCAGTGCTACTAAAAATAACCAAATAATGCATTAAATTGAACAATTGCTATCAGAACAGCCTATTATAAATCTGGTATTTAGCACTTGCTTCAGGTACACAATGATTTTTAAGTGGGGGGCAAAAAACCCCAAATTAACCTCCCACCTATTTTTTTTTTTTTTTTTAATGTGGAAGGTCAGCCTCAGTTCCAAAGGCATCCTTCAAAATGTTTGCCTCCTACTGAGTTCTTCCACATCTGCTCACCTGATGCCTGTTTCTGTTGCTGTTTACTCACCCCATGCCAGCCACTGCACCTTCATTTTACTCTGCACTAATATGGGTGATAATATTGATGATTTGGGGCTCGTTTTCCCCCCCTTTTTGTTTTTGGCAGGAAAATGGAGACAGCTATTTATTTTTTTATTTGCAGCTGACTCAGCTTTTGGGCTCAGCAGTGCTTCCTGCTGGACAGAAATCCCTGTGCCCAGAGCCCAGCTGGAAACTGGAATCAGCAGCATCTATGTATTTATTACTCAAATCAACCTTCACATCTATATTAAGTTCTTCTTTGATTTGTATTTTTGAAAAACCATAAATCCCCAAATACTTTGCCTGGGAGGAACATGACACAGGACACGAGGCACTGACACAGGTTACAGAATCTCTACGAGCATTTTTTTTTTTATAAGTGACAAATGAGCTATGAGATAAAAGAAATCAGATTTCTCAAGACAGACATGCACAAACACATCTCCAGACCCATCCACTGCTCAACACTTGTTAGTACAAGGAGGTGTTACAACACAACCTGCTTTGATTTCAGGTGGCAGAAGGATGCCAAGACATGGATTATGAAGCATTTACCAAACAAAAATCCCCCAAAGCAGCCGTGCTGCACAGCCATGGTGACCAGATCATGCTCACAAGCAGCCCTAACCTCATGTTTAAGGCACAAAAAGAGCCCCAACACACCCAGCAGCTCCAGTGCAGGCTCTCTCTGCCTCTGTCCAGTCTGTTAATCAAGGAAAAAAAACAAAGAAAACTACCCAAAGAAAGAAAACCCCAAGCATTCTTGCTCTCTTGCTTATTTAGAGTGGCAATGAATGCTACACCAGGAAGAATACTGCAGCCTTTCAGGAAGGGGAGCACTATATGTATTTAAAAACAAAAATTAACTGCCTCAACATACAAAAAAAGCCTTTGAAAGGTGGAGGAACAGGGAATTGAAACCATATTCCAAGTGCCAGCCTGTCTGCTGGGTGCTGAGGGAAACCACAGGGAGGCCTGGAGTGCTGCAGAGTTACAGGGGGATTTAACCCTGGAGTGTCATGAGAGCTGCATCCATGCCCTTGCCTGGCCACAGAATATTCCAGCTGTCCCACATTCCCTCCTCTGCTGCTGGCCCAGCTTGGTCCCTTGCTGATAAAGTCTCTGCCTCATTCAAAACAGTTTCTTCACACAGAGTTGGCTTCTTTTTTCCCAGCCCTTGTCTACCAAAAAAAGAGAAAGACTCCCCTGGACCAGTGGTGCATTAACAGCCTTAAACATGCTTAGCAGTTTGTTTTCTTTTAATATTCACAGACTTCCAGGTTCATTGCATTCTGTCCTATTTCTGACTAGCTGCCACCTCTGAATCCATGATGGGCCCTAACAAAAAAAGGGACAATTCCTAGGAAGCCACAGGCAGGGCAGCTCAAGATAGCACTGATTTAGTTACAGAAGGAATTGGTATTTCCTTAATAATCAGCACACAACTCCCCCAGTTCCCTGACCACACGAGTTTGGTGTTTTGCTGACCCACTTGGCTTCGTAGAAAGCCATCCCTGAACTGTTCTAAAAAATTTAATGCTTCCATTAGCATGCTGAATTCACACTGGGGGGGTGGTTTTAACAACTTTTAGATGCCTGACAAACAGGAATAATCATGTTGACTCATGGAATCAAGAAATGGCTCAGTTGGGAGCGACCTTAAAGCTCATCCCATTCCAACCCCCTGCCATGGGCAGGGACACCTTCCACCAGACCAGGCTGCTCCAAGCCTTGTCCAACCTGCCCTTGGACACTTCCAGGGATCCAGGGGCAGCCACAGAATGTCCCATATTCCTCCCTCTTACAATTCTGCATGAGGCACCTCAAGAGACTTTTAATGGCACAATGCTTCTAGACAGAAATAATTTAACGATGAAGCAGTTCATTAAGGAAAAAACTAAACAATTCTCTGGAGCTACTGAACACACAAGAGTGCATCCCACCCCCAAAAATCTCATCTCATCTGCACTGGTCAGCCTAGGAGAAGACATTACATCCCAACACTACTTCTGTAAGTCATTAGCCACAAAACACTGGCATTTCTGTTTAAAAGCCTTCTAAGCCACCCTTGGTGTGCAGAAAAGTACCAGCAGAGACACAACAGGGAGTGAGTAAAAACCCAGCCTGGTATTTCTGAAGTGGAAACTTTTTACCATGACATGCTGCAAGCTCTGGCTGCCTACTGGGAGGAGGGAGAAGGAGGAAAAGGCTGTTTTGATCTGTAAAAGCAGCGTGTGAGTGGGTGGGTTTATCCTGGTGCTGCACACACGGCTCGCTGGCGCTGGCAAGGTGCCCCCCCTTCACAGAGCTGCCACGTCCCACCAAGGGAACAGTAGCTCTCTGAGACACAGGAATGCTGTAATTTAGGAGGGCATGTGCTGGGAAGGAATGTTTGGAGGAGGGAAGCAGTCATCTATTAAAAAAATGAAGTGAGCATTTTTTGGTTTTCAGGAGCAATGATTCATCTGGAATCCGGACCGGCTCGAGCAGCTCCAAGATGTTGCTGGCAGTGCAAGAGAGCAGCAGGAACAGCACAGGGGCTCTAAATCAGGCTGGTGGAGGTGGCTTCTGCCTCCTACTCCAGATTTATGTGTCAAGTTCTCTTGGAAAGTCCATGCCCACCCTGCAGATCTGCACATGGAGGACAGCAAAGGCAAGGGGAAGCAGGAGAGGGGCAGTCCCGCTCTGCCCCTCGAGGCTATTCCTACCCTAAAAATATGGCCTTCCCCAACTTCTTGGCCTTCCCCAACTTCTTGGAGATGTCTCTACAATTTTCATTCCAGTTTCCAGTGAGATTTAAAAAAATTAGCTCAATAAAATGTGATTTAATTCTGAGAGTTCCTTGGGTACATTGGAAGCAAGTCCCACAGTGCCACATTTTTGAGCACCAAACCCCATTAAGAATTTAAGGGTCCCATTCCCCAGGCTCTGTCCTGGTTTTTTAACTGGCCTTTAATGTTGGGTGGTGGTGCTTTGTACTATTTTTTTCTGGCCTTAGGGAATAACACTTCCTACTAATGAGAAATCACAACTTGAAGTAAAAAGTCCTTTCACTAAACCTCATCTATTTAAATAGGGACCAATTATGCATCCCAAATCCCATCAGTAATCTGGTCACCTTCTCCAACTCCCATCATTAGCCCATCAAGTTTGACATGAGGGGGTGTTCAAATGGATGAAAGTTTCCTCAGTAAATACTCCAGAGCTGCCTGACACAGAGGACAAACCCCACAAGTGAATAAATGAAGCCTTCCAAATACACAGTGACAAATGACCAAGATTTGCAAGACATGGACACAACTGAACATTAAAAGCAAGAAATTAATATTAAATGCAACACATGTCCAGCAGGAAGATGAATGTTCCTAAAATCCCTCTGTGGGGGCAGTTTTAAGGAGCAAATGTGTAAGAGCTTCCCAGACAATTTCCAGAGGATTCCTACTACCTGCATGTGCCAATGAGCACATAGACCCAACACACTGCAGAGGTGTGAGGCATAAAAAATAAAAAAAAATGTTTTCAACTTGCCACTGGAGTGGCCTTAAGGACCTCAGCTCCAGCGGTTTTCCTGAGACTTATCATTGTTCCCGAATCAATCACCTTCCTGTGATCCCATATTTGGAAGCAGTTTTACCTTTCTGAAGAAATTCACAGCTAAATAAAAGCCTTTCAGCTCCAGGCCATTCCAAGTTCAGGGATTTGTCCACAGCAGCTGAAAGAACACTGGGTTTCTATTCGAGCAGCAACTACCTTCTATCACTCCAACCTGTAAATCCCTTAAAATCATCACCTAGCTTTAAAGGGCAGTGCTTCCCAGCAATCACAGCAGCTCCTAGCTCTAAGCAAGCATGGGCACTGCAGCTGAGGAGCAGAGGTGAGCCAGGGAGGTGCCAGCAGAGCCCCAGGCCCGCGTTTAGTTCGTTAGTCGCAGCGCACAAGCCATGCTCAGCCAGAGAGGGCACTTCCACCTCAGAATGCCACCACTGACAACCAGTCTGTACTTCAGCAGAGCCCGTGCTTTGTTAGAGGACAGCTCAGCTTGCTTAGCCCACTCTCTTTGAAAGAAAGGCTGAAGAATAAGGAGAGTTGCACAAAACCCTTGCCCGCGTTCGGCGCTGAAGCAGCACAGCCCCAGGACACGCTTCCTCGGACAAGGGATCCCTTCCCCTTACCTCTTAGAGACTCTGTAATGTGCTGTGGTCAGTTTCCCAGTCTCAGGGTCATGAACAGTAGCACGGCTCAGCTACAAAAAGAGAAAGGACAAGGCTTACCCACCTTGCAGGCTGCTTTTTGGCCAAGCCCCAGGTGTTTGAAAGGGTTCCGATTGGTCCGGATGCGATGCTCGCATATTGGCAATGGTTGGAAGGGCAACACAAGCTGCAGCTGCCATGTTCCAAATCACAACAAATTGGTTGGAATAATTTGGTTTGATTGTCCTTTCACTTTTTTCCTCCCTTTATTTTTTTTTTTTTTTTAATCAAGACTTTCTACAAGTAATTTATGATGCTGAGTTTCCCAGACAATTCCTCCTCACCCAGAAGTTTTAACTCCTCCCAGAATTTTGGCCCAGTGCTGATGGCCTGTGCAGCCAATCTTTAATTACCACGGCTAAAACCAGGGGAGGGCAGGCAGGGGCAGGTGGTTTCTTTCAGATCCAGCCAATTTTGGAAAGCACTGGCTAAATTCAGCACTTGTAGTACTCAATGGACAAACTGAAAAGAACCAGGAGCCCAGTGGAAGCCAGCCTGTGTTCTGCCAGGTTTATGTCAGGCAGGAGCTAAAGGAGCCCAGCTGGGAGTGTGGGATTATCCTGGACAAGGAGATGTGGCCCTGTGTGCACAGCGAGGACCTGAAGCTTTTCCTACACCCATTAAGGCACTTTGAGGTCTGCTACATTTTCCAAAGAAAGGGAGGACAATTCTTGGTTGTGAGAAAAGCAAGGGGAAAGGAAACGTCTAGATTAAAAACAAAAAGCAGATTTTACTGAAGGTTTTGTGGCATCTTGGTATTTCTCACACTGACTGCAGAGACTTGCTTGGAAAAAACAGACTCGAGAAGGCGACCAAAAAGGAAAGAACAAATCAAAACACGCCCCCAGAACTTCCAGCAGAAGGAAAAGACCAAGAAACTCAGCAGTACCAGCCTGTTACGGATCTGCACGGAGTCACAAGGTGGACAACAAGCTGTCTCTTCAGCCCACCTCTCGTTTCCTCAGAATGAGCAGGATGTACACACTCATTACAGGCCCAAAACCTCTGGCATGGAGCTCTCTTACCTTTTGCTAATTCTGTAATGTGCCGTCTCCAAGGCTCCCGTTATGGGGTTTGAAATGGTGGCTCGCCTCAGCTGTGAAGCGAACCATCAGAAGTTGCATTACAAGCACAATCTGCATCCCAGCAATCCGACCATTCAGAAGCCTGGGGAGGGGGACAACGCCACCGAGCCGCCACCACTGCCCTGCTCTGTCTGCCACGGGGAACCAGGGGGAGGCTCCAGCTTTACTAAAAGAAAGGTTTCTCGTTTGGTTTTGTGGGTTTTTTTTTTTTCCCACAAGTCCTGTTTCCATGTGTGTAGCAAGAGCAGCTGGCTGAATAAAGCAAACTACAGGAGCTTGGGTTTCTTTTGTAAGAAGCTGTTCTGGGAGCGGCACAGTGGTGTGGCATGTGGGCAGTGGTGCTTTGTTACGCTGTCCTGCACGAGGAGTCTGACAGGTAAATGGAATCCAGGCAGCACCACAAGCCAAAGGTGAATAAACCATTCCTTTTTGGTCCTTCCTGTACCAAAAGCAGCACTGAACTCCTTTGAGCTCTCACAGACTTCTCCTTCAGCCATGGTTGCATTTACACAGAGTAGGAACTGCTGGCTGAAGGCTTTCCTTTCCCTCTGCTGTGCTCCGTTAACATTTCGACTCAGAACCTCACATGTGCCCTTTCATTTGCTTCATGTTCTACCAGACACACTCTCCATCACTCATAACTGGAAAGGCTGAGGTGCAGAGCTCAAATTTTGCAAAAGGCACGATGTCATGCCAACTCCCAAACAATCAGAAGCATTTCTCCACTGTTAAAATAAACTAAACAAGCCAAGGCCTCTCTCTCCATACCTGCTGACAAGAAAAGATACTGGGAGCTCCCAGTATGCTGCCTCTCCTCTCCTCCCATGCAGACACATAAAAAAACAAGGCACAAACTACAATTCCAGTGAGACTCCAGAGCTGAATTAATGAGGCTTCATCCTGCCAGCACAGCAGAAGGCTGGGCACAGATCAGCCAGCACTGTCTCTTCCCAGAGGGCATCAGCATCCCGAGCAACAGGAAGAAGGAGATGACCTTTAAGTCTCCAAGAGCACAATCCTGCTGCTGCTGAGCCGTGCAAGGCCTCAGCCACAGGGAATATGGGAACAGTAACTGCATACAGATCCTCCTGCCATAAAGGTCTCCAAGTCTTCACCATGAGCTGAGTGTTTGACAGGAAAACAATGACCTCAGCAAGTTCACAGCTTGCAGTCACACTGCTCTGTAAAGGAGAGCTTTGGTCACATTCCGCAGGTGTGGAATGCATCTTGCAGGAGCAAAGGAGCTCCAACACCTCCAGGCCAGCAATGGGGGCTCTGATTTCCAGCCCTGCAGCAAGGCTGCCTGGCAGGGCAGCAGGAGGAGATGCCTCAGGTACGTGGAGGGAAAAGCTTACACTCCCTGCTCACAGTTCAGAACATTACCCCAGAAACCTCAGAACAGAATCACTGAGGTTGGAGAAGACCTCCAAGATAATCAAGTCCAACCTCTGATCCATCCCCACCTTGTCACCCAGCCCAGAACACTCAAATCATTGCTTGGACACCTCCAGGGATGGTGACCCTGCCACCTCCCTGTGCAGCCCTTGCCAAGGCCTGACAAACTCTTCAGTGAAGAGATTCTTCCCAACGTCCAACACCTCAGGCTTCAGGAAGCTTTAAGATCCCCCTTCAGGCTCACTGGCCTGGAGAGCCTCACCACCCAGGTGCTCATGTACAACCACAGCTGCTCTACACTTTGCAACAGCTTCTCCTGTAGGGAATGCTCTTATTCCCTTAATCTCCTCCTGCTCAGGTCACTCTGGACAAAAACCCATTTAGGCCAAAAGCAAAGGAAAAAAGCAGGAAAATTACATATCTATCAGTTTAAGTATTATTTTAGAATTGCTGGAAAAATAAATTAACTACATCTTCAACATGCCTTTGTAGATGCAGAGTTGCACCAACAGGATACAGAAGGCAACTCCATCGGTTTGCTGTTTTCCCTGAACATTCCTCTTTTCTCAGACAGTGGAGCTGCCCTGGATTATTCCTCACTGAGAAACAAGAACCCCCTTTGCATCCAATGTCTCAAACAGGGTTGATGAGCCATCATCATCAATAAGAAGGCAAAGCCCAGCAACTAAGTCCTGCTCTCTCAAAGCTCTCTCATCTGCAGGCAGCTTCCCAGTCTGGGAGACAGAAGCCAGTCTTAAACCAAAATGGAGAACACAACCATGCTTTCTCCTCTATACAACCAGGTGGCATTCCAGGACCAGAGGAACGGCTGCCTTCCCCTTACAGACTTAAAAAGGGAAGAAAAACCAGAAGCAGAAAACCAAACACAAGTCAGGAATATTCCAGTAAAGCCTCGCTGCTTTATGTTTGTTTTTTCTGTTGGAGAACACTCTCCTCCTCACCTGAACCAGCTGAAATTTTATCTGCTGGAAGAGCCTGACAACCTTGCACTGCTGTGACCTGGCTCCAGTCACCACAAAGAATTCCCAAAAATTCTCCTGGTGTCACCAAGAGCTGCAAGGCGAGGCAGCGCACCGCACACACCCCCTGCGCTCCAGAGGCGGCAGCCACGCGCTCCCACCAACGACCACGTGGAATTTAGGATTCCAAAGGCAAGGAAGCAGAAGGCATTTACCCTGGGCTTTGCCAGCTCCTTCACGGTCTCGATCTCTTCGTCGGAGATGATGTCCAGGAAGCGAACGATGCGAGGCTTGTCCCACTCGTCCTCCTGCTTGACGGGGCCCAGGATGTACCTGGGATTCCTGTTCCCGTCGTAGTAGCGGCAGAAAAGCCTCTTTTGTCTCCGGGGAGTCTGGAAGGGAGGCAGAGCAAGGGGCAGTCAGAGAACTCCCACATTGGTATCTCCAAGGACAGAACAGGTCCTGGACACACAAACAATTCACTCTCCCCACCTCGTTATGTGACGGGTTAAAGAGATGATTTCACTTGTGCTGTCTGCACATAAATGTTGCTTTGCAATACTTTACAAGCATTACTTTACACAACCCTACTAAAATAAAATTATGGCTAAAAAAAACCCATCCCTGTTTAATTCTGTCTGTAACTCCGGACTTCCAGCATCCTTATTCAATTAATTACACTGATGGAGCACATCCAAGACAGCCAGCAGTGCCTGGGGCAGCGTTACTTTCTGTCTACTGAGCAGGCTGAAACAGGGAAGAAATCCAACACATGATCCTCAACTCTGCACACTCATCCAGCTGCTCTAACAACTTCCTTGCTTGCACACCACACACAAATTCCTGACATTGTTTGGTTTCAAACATTTGAGAACAGTCTACTCCACTTTACCATTTTGAGCCCCTCCCCACGGCACAGCATTTCGTACTTCCTTCTCTCAGGCAGGTAATCCTTTTTCTTAACCTCAGTTTCCTTCTCCTGCTGCTCTTCCGAATCCGTGCTGGACTTGTTGGCTTCTTTTTCTTTAGCCATGATGTACTCAAAGTATTTCATGTTCCCGTTTGCTCTTTGATGTTCAGGATCTATGGACAGAGGAACAGACAGGGATCACTGGCAGGTTTCCAGCCCCTGAGGAATCATCCAGAAGTGGTTATTTACAGAAAGCAAAAGGAAACAGATGCACGCAACCGCTTCTCCAACCCTCACTGCACACGGGGGTCCCAGCACTGAGGAAAAGGGTTTGGCCATTCCAGCCCATCTCACTAGAGAGGGAGAGACAGGGGAATGGGACAGGGAAAGAGCTGGGACAGCATGACTGGCTGTAAGCCTGAAAATTCCCTGGGGGTGGATTTAAGATTTCTGGTGACAAAGCTTTTTAACTTACAGAATTAGCTTCAGCTCTTTACTAAGTGGCTCTCAGTAGCTTTTGCTATGTTAGGGCTAGT